TGAGTTGCATAAATGGAGAAGTAACGAATCGAAATTGCTTTCTTCTGAGTGTGAAATTGGTTCAAAATCTCTTAACCTGGATGAATGTTCCACAACAAAGGTTCTCGGTCTCCAGTGGAATTCTTCCCAGGATATATTTTCATTTAGCATTTCTGCTCATAACACACAATGTTCTAAGAGGAGTATACTTTCAGACTTAGCTCGTATATTTGATCCACTAGGATTTCTGACTTTAGTCCTCTGACTTAATTCGCCAAAAGACTCATTCAACAGTTGTGGACATGTGGTATCGGCTGGGATGAACAGCTACCCCAAGATATCCATAATGCTTGGACTACTTTTAAATCCGATTTACCTGTCATCTCGAAAATCAGTGTTTCTCGGTACCTATTTCACCCATCAGTTACTATTTGCACCTTACATGGATTCTCTGATGCCAGTGAGAAAGGATATTCAGCAGTAATATATTCTAGAACTGAGGTAGATGGAATTGTTCATGTTCGCTTGGTTTGTGCTAAAGCTAAAGTATCTCCCCTCAAAACCATCTCGATTCCAAAGTTGGAACTGTGTGAAGCTGTACTTCTTTCTGATTTGTTTGCTTTTGTTGAATCCTCTTTCAACCAAGAAGTTTCTATCGACAAGATTGTAGCTTGGTCAGACCCTCTAAGGACAAACCCTCTAAGGACAAACCAGCGGATTGTTCTTCAAGGGGTTTACTTCCTTCCCAGCTTGTCAATCACTCGTTATGGTGGGCGGGTCCACCGTGGCTATCACAATCAGCTGAATTTTGGCCTTCTGCTCTCAACTCAACTTCCATCACGCTCTGAGGCTGTTTCCGAAGAAAAGAAGATTTCTCTTATAGTCCAAACTGAGGACAACTTCCTAAATGGTTTGTTAGAAAATCATTCTTCGTTACCTAGAATTCAACGTATTCTTTCTTATGTCCTTCGCTTCATACACAATGCTCGATTAACTAAAACTCAACGCTCTATTTCTCATCTCACCTTTATTGAAACCCATCAATCTCTGCTTAGAATAGTGAAATATGTTCAATCCCAAGTATTTTCTAAAGAACTTTCGAATTTGGCGAACGACGCACCTTTGTGTAAATCATTTCGCAAGCTAAATCTCTTTGTTGATAAAGATGGTCTCATGAGGGTGGGCAAGCGACTCATTCACTCTGGCCTCATCTACGATAAAAAAATCCAATTCTTCTGCCTAGTCGGCACCGACTCACAGATCTAATAATTGAAATCACTCATAAACAATATCTACATCCTGGTATGCAGACCCTCCACTTCCTTCTTCTTCAAAAATTTTGGATTTTGTCAGCCAAGAGAACAATTCGTCGATGTCTCACTAAGTGCCTCATTTGTTGGCGTACACATCCCACAGAAACTCAACCTCCCATGGGTAATCTACCTTTTCACAGGGTGTCTAAACTTAAACCCTTCTCTTGCGTGGGTATAGATTATGGAGGTCCATACACGATATCTTTGGGAAGATATCGAGGGGCTAAAATTGATAAGGCCTATATCTGTTTATTTGTGTGTTCTGCCACTAAAGCATTGCACATTGAGTTGGTGTCTGATCTTTCCACCGACACATTTATAGCAGCCCTAAAACGATTCATGTCCCGTCGCGGTCGAGTGTCATATATATTTAGTGACAATGCGACCAATTTTGTTGGTGCTTCTCGGATCTTCATGGATCTCATGAAAGTTGCGACACAAGAAGAGCAAATTGAATGGAAATTTATTCCACCATCTAGTCCGCACTTCGGAGGGTTGTGGGAAGCTGGGATTGAATCGGTAAAGTCTCAACTTTGTAGAATTCTTGGCGACCAAATACTTACTTATGAGGAGTTCAACACATTACTGATTCAAATAGAAGCTATTTTAAATTCAAGACCACTGTGTCCTACCAGCTCCGATCCCAACGATCTTCTAGCTCTTACCTCACTTCTTGACATTGGAGCCGTTAAATTGTCCTCCTGATGATGACCTCTCACAATTAGCTCTAAACCGTTTGTCTCGTTGGCAATTGATTCAGAGACTCCATCAAGACTTTTGGTATCGATGGAGTAGAGTATTTTCATACTCTATTTCAGCGAGGAAAGTGGACAGAACCATCTGCAAATATTGAGCTCGGGTCAATGGTTCTAATTAAAAATGATGCTATGCCACCTTTGCGTTGGCAACTAGGACGTGTCATTGATACCCATCCGGGCCCTGACGGTATAGTGCGGGTTGTCACCCTTCGTACTACCCAAGGTACATTAAAGAGACCAGTGGTAAAGATTTGCCCTTTGCCTCTGAATAAGTCAGATTAAAATGCCAATGCATTTTGGTGGGCGGTTATGTTCCGTCTTCACCAGTTTTTTTTATTTTTTTTATTTTCATTTTTTCTCTTTGTGTATTTGTCTACTGATGATTTTCACTCAATTTACAAAATTTGTATTTAACGCGAAGTTCGGCTGTGTTTCCTATTCTGATTAAATATATGGAGCACTCCTCGTATCAATATATTTGGTCAGTCGCCTCAACAGCAGCAGAACAACAGGAATTCGATATATAGACTCGTTACAGAAAGCATCTCAGGTGATTCGACAACCTACTTAATTAATTAAGAAAGTTGCTGGCCAGCTAGTGTTGTGTGATCTAACGGGTTCTTGCGATCATCCTCCTGGAACCAGAAATCTCTCTACAAGCCGCTACTAGAGCTGACATTCACTCAGGTGAGAAACAAAGCCACGTAATCTCTCTCTCTCTCTCTTTATTTTATGTCCAGAACAAAATTCTATTGGGAACTCAAATCATACCATCCTATGTTATACTACAGTCCACTTATCTAATGAAGCTACACTACCTTTCATAAGCAGTAGAGTGTCCGATCTTTTCATTAGTAAGGTTAACAAAAGTTGGACCAACCATTCAAAGATCTAATTGATCTTTATATTCGTGCTACGAACCACACGATAAACGGTATTAAACCTCGTTTATTCCTAACTCGCACAAGTTTGACTTTCAAGAGTTGTCATTCATAGGGGAGCAAAATCTGGTTAACGGAAAAACAGACTTTTTTCAAGAGCTATTCAAGTTTGAGATAGAGAGTTATTCCCAGAAATAGAATTACTGACTGGCAAGTAATGTGCCGGGGACAATTGCCATTTCAACTTCCTCATTTAATGCACATCATTGATTTGTCTATAACTCATTGTTTTACAAAAACAATTGGAAGAAGCATATGTAATTCCAATACCCAAAATAAATATGCCTATTTCTTTAATTGTTATCCACGCAATTAGTGATTCTAAAAAGTTATGAACTCACAAATACAATAACACCTCAAAATAAATATAATATTTTACAAACTCACCAATCATGGTTTCGCTGCACTACAGCATTGCTAAAAATCAGTAACGACATTTTCAAAGCATGAAATAAGGGTAAATGTAAATTACAAATTCTATTAGATTATTGGAAAGGATTTTGACTTGCTCAACCACAAGCTATTCCTATCAATATTTCACTATAATGGTTTTTCTCAGGACCCACTCATACTCCTTCAGTTATATTTCAATTTTTATTTGTTTGGTTGTTGTTGTATGTTATTTCTTTGTAATTTCAGTTTTTTGTTTAATGAAATTGTTATTTTCGGTTAATCTTTTTGATTTTTTCAGGATTATCAAATCAATTTATATTATATTAGACAATGAAGTCCGAACTGATGAAATATACCACGAAACATTGTCAACCGCCTTCAAAAAAATGTACAGACTAGCTGTTTACATTACAAAATGCTCAAAAAAAATTCCTACATTAATTGTATTCAAATAAGATTTTGGACTGACCTCCATAAACTGTATCTCAGAAGTGAGAATACCCTCACCGTCCTTTGTAACTTTGCAAACAGTCATTTTTATACTCTATAGAAGGTCACTCGGGCGTATATAATCATTCTGGAGGAAGCTATACACAACAAAGTGTTAATATAATATGTTATGAAGTTTCGGTCAATTCCATCACATATCATTGTTAATACTGAAAATATTATACAGTGCAAGTCTCTAACATGGAACAAATTCACTAAATCAAAGGTGTTGTTTCTTTCGGAAATATGCTCGGACACGTCGATTAGTATTTTAAAGTGCCCTTATTTTCTTGCAAAAAAAAATTATACAGTGTCTCAAATATGAGATATGACTTCATCGATGATTTTTTTAAATGACAACCCTGTTTTTTTAATGACTTTTATTGAAGGGTTCAACAAGTTGCACATGCCTGCCATATTTCAATTTTTTTACTGCTTGTCCTTTAAAAGATATTTAACAAACATTATCTAATTCAAAAAATGAATTCAATTCAATAGTCTTCCTTCAATAAATGCTTAGAATGTCAGGGATACCTGACAGTGACATTGTCATAAAAAAGTTATGAAAAAAAAAGTAAGGGGAGTAGTATCGCATTCCAATCAAATTTGTGCCCAAAAACTGTTAGTCGTTTCACAGTTTGTTGTTCGCCATTAGTAAAATGCGGTACTCAACTGAAACACATTAGATTGAAATTCTAATGATGACTGGCTACAGAGATAGAACAAGAACACAAAATGAAGTTACTCATTTATTCAGAGAGAATAGAAACATCTGGTTTCAACAGGACGGCGCCTCCTCATTTTGTAAGACCTGTCCGTGAGTACCTGAATGATGTATTTCCAGGCAGATGCATAGGCAGAAGAGGACCCTATGAATGGCCACCTAGGTATCCGGATTTAACACCTTTGGACTTTTTCTTATGGGGTTACTTAAAGAGCAAAGTTTTTAAGACCAAACCGGCAAATATTGAGAATTTAAAAGAACGAATGAGACAGGAGTGTAGGCTAATTTCCGGCGAAGTAATCAGAAATGTTCAAAACGAGTTTCAGTTACGTTTAGGTTATTGTCAGTTAGTAAATAGACAACATTTTGAACACTTGTTAAAGAAAGACTATTGAATAGAATTCATTTTTTGAATTAGATAATGTTTGTTAAATATCTTTTAAAGGACAAGGAGTAAAAAATTTAAATTTGGCAGGCATGTGCAACTTGTTGAACTCTTTAATAAAAGTCATTAAAAAAACAGGGTTGTCTTTTAAAAAAATTATCGATGACGTCATATCTCATATGTGAGACATAACCTGTAAAATAATAACTTTTTATCAGGCCGATAATCTAAAAGTATACTTTCGAATACAAACCTGTTTATCCACTTTCTGTAACTCTTCTTTCAACTCGTTAGAATGCAGATCATTCATAACAATAGTTTTCAGTTTATTCAACTCTTCAATATTATATTCATTCACAGTTGTTAGTTCTTGTTGGCATTTCTTTATTTCAGCAAGAATTTCATCTTCTGGCATATTCTAAAAAAAATAAGTAAGACAAAAGAAACTTTTTACAACCTTATTACCTTTGCCAAATCTTCCATGGTAATTATGCCTTGTTCAATAAGTTCCTTCTTCAGCCGTCTATCCAAACACATTCCCATTTTCTGACTAGTGCTTGACGTTTTGAGTTTTGAAAATTCTGAAGCTGAAACAATACTACTAGAGAAATTTTAAAAGTAAAAACTTAACTCACATTTTAGTTTACAAGGTTTGGTACCATTCTCTCCATTTTTTGGGAGACTATTCAGCACTCTTTCTTCTAATAATGCTGCCAAAAGCTTCTGGGTCTGAGGTGTTGAAAAAGTTTCCACCATTCTGAAAAATCGTATAATTGCTCAAAATGACATTTCAATTACAATAAATTTACTCGCACCATTTGTGCAACTTTAAAACCTTTCTACGGGTAAGAAATAGCAAATCTTAAACCAAAATTTTGTACAAATTCAGAAGTAAAACGGCGTCCAGGGGAGATTAGCTCGTGGCAAAGATTCAAATATCATTTATAATTCTCAGGGCCACCTTCATTTCGAAACCTGGAAAATCAGACAGGACTCGGCGAACGCCTAAGTCCATTCTTATATCTTCAAGTACACTAGCTTCCTCAGGCGTGGTTATACGCTCGGTATAAAAACGCCAGAGGAAGTTATTGTATAGTAGAAAACAAGCTGCGGTTTTATAATGGTTCAATGAAAATTTCAAAATAAAGTATTACTTGAATACGTTATTGATTCTCATCAAGTATCGGCCAATTCCATTACATACAATTTTTTGTCATTTGCACTAAAGTCGTTGGGAACAGGCCACTGCATCAAGGCCAATATGCGTACAGGTCGGGTACGCAACCGAAATACCTTGATGTTGGGTCACAGAAAAAGCAGAATATGTTTATAAGAACAAGGAAGTACTTTCAGTTGTTTTCTTGGATATTGACGGCGCATTCAATCATCCAGGAGCGTCAAAGAGAACAGGGATCGTTGATAAAGGCTGCAGGTGGATATACTATAAAAATATAGTTATATAATAATAACATTGAGGGCCTCGACTAATCAAAGCAGCTTTGTTTTCCTCAGGTAGAAGGCCGGAGTCTGAAATTGAGATGTCTTTAACACTTTAGTCTACCAGTTGCGTGATTGATATGGAGGCGATTCTTTCTCACCAGGTGCATAGGCCTGATATGGTTGGAACTACGAGTTCCATTCAATCAAAGCCTACAAGTCCGGATTTTGTTTTCTCTATCTTTGATTTCGGCTGTGGAAACCTGTGGTCTTACAATCGAATATTTAAATTTCTCTCGCGGGGCTTCTTATGGAGAATTACTTGTCCCTCCAGAAAAAGCTTATATAGTTTCCATGAGATATATGTGTGGTTTATTCTTGACAGAACCACTTTTCCGCACAAAAATTGTGGTACATATTCTGTTTAGAAATCTCGGCTTTCAACGTTTTGTTTCATAATGAACCTCAACATTTTTCACGACTTGTTGAATTGAAAGTAGTAAGCACTATGCGCAAGTTGAATTATATATTGCCTATGTATCTGAAATTTCGATTTTCAACAGACTGTTGAATTTTTTTCATCCTAAAGTTGTTCTTATTTCCCCACAGAGGTGGAATGATATTTTACAAAGTGACTGAAAACTTATTTTGAGTTGAGTGGAGTTATGTTTTCCATGTTTGGCATAATTCTGAAATAATGAAGTAACAAAACCCGGTGGCGCCCATTTCAACATCCATAATTAGAAGCTTTCTCCTAACTAAGGATCCAAAAGCTTCCAGATGAAGAGCACTGTGCAACTATATCCTTTTTAAAAAAAGAAAAGGTAACAAACTGGAGATACTCATGCCATGACAATTAAAGAAAAAAGTGACAGTACATACACCGAGTTGATCATACCAACTCATTTTTGCCTGTACATTTATATCTTATTTGTTAACATAAAAAATGAAGTTCACTACAGTATAACACACACTAGAGGTAATGATCTACCTTATCTCCATTCAAATAGTCTAACGTTGTGGTTAAAACATACACGGAATGCATTGCATGCATACATACATTATAGAGTAATTACTAAAATATTTTTGCATATGTGTCTTTTTCAATACTGACAACTGACAATTTTGAAATTGGAGATCATATTTTAATATTGAAGTAACTTACGCGTGCAGACCATTTTTCTTAATATCAACTGTTGCTGTTCCTTTTTTCATTGGAGACTTTCCCAAATTTTGTTCGTCGTTGATAATTTCTTCTGACCAACCATTTGCATAATGATCTCCAACTTCAGGAACTTGTATGTCAATTTCCTTTGAAAACTCCTGGATAACATTATCTAGAAACTAGTAAGCAAAAATCAGAGAAAGACCAGAACAGCGTGAATAATATAATTTGGCTTCATTGTCCAAAAAATTGCTCTTAATGACGAAGTGATGATAATTGTTAGACTTCTAAATAAAATACAAAATTGTTATCACAAAACAAAGAAAATGAAAAAATATGAAATAGTCCTAAAATTAAATGCAGTTTTTATATTTGTTAAAAATTATAATGTATAAAAATCTTACTGCCATGTCATCTTTCGTAACATTTGCACAAAATGGTTCAATGGAAGCCCAAAATTTATCTGAATTATCATTTTTGGGTAGAGTGACTTTAGGTATGTCTTGATGTGGATCACCAATCAGCTTATTTACAGTCAACCCATGTTTCTTAATTACCCTCATACCATTTTTTAGATCCTTGAATTTAGGTTTTTCATCTGGACGTTTTCTCTTGAGGGAAGTCTAAAATGAAAAACAATAAATACTGAGTGACAAATTATTTCAAATAAAAAACCTGAGAAAATTGAAGAACATCCTATTTCAAGCTGGTATTCAAGAACTTTACAAAAAATCACCAAAGTTATGTAAGATGAAAAAATTGTGTCACACTATAATGAAAAATATGAAAAAATGCGTTAACTAGTGTGAATGTGAGAAATGATGAATTGAAACCCCATTTCGGCTCTCCTAGTATACAAGGATGAAATAATAAGAAGTGAGCGAGTCTTTCAGTCATGGAGCAGACTCATTTCACAGGATTATAAACTGTCAATGTTTTACCGAAAGTAAGAATTTGAAATTCGTTTTCAGGCCATGATTTTAGACTAGTTTTGAACTCCATTCTCACGTTCTTATCCCTGCATGGTATTGAGATATAAGTTCAGTTCAACAGTAACTCAACCAAAGAAATATATAATTTATTGAATAGTGCCATAATTCAACACTTGTCTCATTCTTTCCTTCTCCCCATCACAAATTTTCCATGTGTTGTTTTCTTTTAAAAAAATCGATTAATTCTGCTTGCTTGACCATTTGTTCTGACTTCCGTTGTCTATAAAAGTGTAAAACAGTTTTGAAATCTATAATTAAGCCGGCAGAACCCATAATTCTTATTGAATGAAAAAGTATCCAAAATAAACCTAAAATTATAGCCAGTTATAGGTCAGTTATTCTCAAGAAATTTAAAATATGTGGTAGTACTGAAAGAATGTTATAAAAATAAGGAGACATTTTACTTGGCATGAAACAAAGGTATGAAAGGTCTACTTATGCTCTGAATCATAACGGTGATTTGTATTTTGCAAAACCTAATAACACAATCTTCTCTTACAGTAGAAAGAATTATATTCATAAAACTCCAGCAAAGAGTTTTATGAATATCCTATAACTAACTCAAAAGTTATCAGTAATGGTGAATGTATGCACACTTGATAAGCAAGTAACAATTATTAATTATACTTCTTGGGCAACTTCCAACTTTATTACTTTAAATGTACCAAATTTTTTGACTAAATTGTACTTTATGGGATACTCACGGATTTCTGCGATTTTTTTTTTGGATGATACTACATGATGGTCAGAATTCAGAACACTTTTTATTTTTAGTCGGACTCAATTAGTTTTCAAGATATAGCCTGTCAAAGTTTGTATGTCATATTTTACCCTTTTTTTACGGAAATCAACAATTGCAATTCACATATTTTTTATTCACACATCTTTTTCTATATCATCGCACCTTTTTCTATCCCTTTTCTAAAATACATGAGGTTTTCAATTCAGTAGGTCAGGTTAGATGTTGAGAAAAGATAGTTTTTTCAAAGTTGATTATTCGAAAATATGTTTGTTTTTGAATTCAAAGGTCAAGTTAGATGTTGAGGATAGATATTTTCTAAAAAATTAGATATTCGAAAATACGTTCCTTTTAGAATTCAGGGGTCCGGTTAGATGTTGAGGATAAATAGTTTTTTTCAAAGTAAATATTTGAAAATATGTTCGTTTCTGAATTCGAAGGTCACTTCAGATGGAATGTAATATGTCATTGCATTTGTAGCTGTTGTCTTTTTTTGGTTAGCAGTTCTATCTCTAAATTTCAATATTTCAAATGTCATTTGTGACAATAAAGAAAATATGACGTCATAGATATTTTCGACAGTTATATTTCCAAAACTAATTGAGTCACACAAAAAAAATTGTTCCAACCTACCTGGCTACCTACCTACCTGATTGGCCCATTTCAGAGCACATATAGCAGAATAGAGGGATAACTTGACCTAATAATTTTAAAATTTCAAAATATTGTAGGCTGTGTTGTTTAGTTTACATTCTTAAATAACTTTTTTCTATAATCCTGAAATATTGACGCTGCGTTAAAAAATGTATAACAGATATACAATAGTCCATATTACATATTTCTTTTTGCAATGAAATCTAAAAGCTCAATTGCTTAAGTACTATTTTAGTGATTTCTTTAATTGGAATGCATAAATGCCATCATTTTTTTTTAATTGTTCCTTTTCTAATTGACACTTGAAACTTGTTACATGCTCCTTGTTAATCGAGTGTGCACAAATTCACCATGATTCTCAAATTATTTCCATACTTTATCATGAGCTTTTCGATCATGTCCCCCATCATTTCTATCTATTTCTCCAATTTCTGCTAGCAAATATCTGGTTCTCAGGGCACTAGTTGATAAAAGTTTTTCCAAGTCTTGCTGGAGTTGATCTAAGTCGTCCATGGAAACACCATCATCCCCAGATTTTGCTAAAACTATGAGGTCTGGTTAGAAATATCAGAATTAGAATTAAATGCTGAATTGATTACTTGTAGTGTATTTCAGTAGTAGTCTAGCATTATCACTTTGTCTTATCAATGGAATATTAGCCAAATCAGGTTCTGCTATTTTTCCTTCAGGTTTATGACGGGATGATATAGATAATATATCTTTGAGCTTTCCATTGTATCTTGCGTTATTTTTTGGTAATGTATATGAACGTTTCTGCATGCTCATCATTTCTATCTATTGTAATATAAAAATATATACACCTTAAATTTAACAGTGTTATTGTTGATCAAGAAACCTGTATCCTGCTGATCTGAGAATGGAACCTAGAAGCGGTAATTCGTCTTCTTCTCTGATAAAATTTTGTCGTCTTCTTAATATCAATTTTGTCTGACCTCTCTCTAGTACCATTTGCCAATATGTCACATATATTGTCGTTCTGTAGTCTCAGAAAAATTATTCGACTAAGTGAACTTAGATAAAAAAATATTGGAAATATAAAAAAATATGAAGAACCAAATAATGATCATGAATTTCACAGAGCATTCCCAATGCTGAATTGTACAGAAAACATAATACTGTGACCTTAAATGGAACTAAAATGATGAATGGGTTAAACGATATACAAATATACAACAATAATGTAATATATCAATTCAATAGTATACAAATAATTACACATTCCTTTATTAGCTCACATAACTATTTTTTGCTCATCATATTGATCAAATGTTTTTGTTATTATATGTTTTTTTGTAGATAGTTCTCAAGTGACTGAAATTGAAATGAGAATTTTTGGCTCGTATTTTTACCTTTCTGATTTTCAAAATTTTGTCTGTCGGCAATTCCATTTCCGCGGTTGGCACCAACCGCGGCAATGGAATTAATTACTGGTCTGTCCACTTTGGACCTGTACGTTGAGAAGGTTGTGTTAATGGCCATGTCACGATTGCACACGGCTGGTGTAAACCTCGAAGTAGGAATGGGTCAATTGAGGCTGAGACTATGGAGAGAAGCGCACACCGCGCAACCTCTGCTGCAGGCAACCAGTGATGCAATTGAGCCCAGGTTTGTGTTTAATATACCCTACAAAATACAAATAAAACAGAACACAGAGTAAGATGCTACAAATACAATACGCATATATACAGACGTCTCAAAAACCAAAGAAGGCTCAGAATGTGGAGTGTACCCCAGATCACTAAGCCTAAGGATTGAGTGGAGAATGGGAAAAAATACCAGCGTGGTTCAAACAGAACTGGCTGGTATCTCAATCGCCACAAAAGAAATAACCCGGAAACGAATTTCTGGCAAAAAAATAACAATCTGCACTGATAGCAGAAAAGCCCTATTAGCCTAGAACAGACAACGTGTTACCTCTGGGCTAGTACTAGAGTGCCACTAAGATTTAGACAAAGCCTCGGTAGATAATAACATTATTCTGAGGTTGATTATAGGGCACGACAGGAGTAAAGGTAATCGCATTGCGAACTTTTCAGCCAAAGAAGCGGCTGGACTAAGAATTTTAGGACCCAGTGGCACCTACGGCCTGATGATTTCGACAATTGCGGAACTAGCCATGCTCAATCCCTAAGGAGATGGGATGAAATCAGAGGATGCACTCTTGCCAGAATCACCCTGGGCGTCCCTGGGAAGCTGGCGCCGAAGAATTATCTAGCGACGACCAGAAAAAAATCTACGCTTAACAGTAGGATTGCTGACTGGCACTGTCAACTAAGAAAACACCTCCATAATATGGGGCTAGTGGACACACCTCTATGCAGCATGTGTGAACAGGAAGATGAAACTGTCAGGCATGTCCTATGCGAGTGTCCGGAGTTATCGTCAATAAGAGAGTGTGTGTTCGGCGAGTCTTGGCCTACACCTGCCGATATAAAGGAGATGTCTACTAGTGACCTGTCCACCTTCCTGGAAAGGACAGGATGGACAATGACCTAGGAGGACAACTAAAGCCAGAAACGACTAAACGGTTTGGCGTTAATGTCAATCCACCGTAAAATTGGCATCGACACCGAGGAGGTAATTGATTTGTTTGCTGCAAAGAAAGCTAAAAAACTAAATTTGATTTTGTAAAAAGTTGTTGATATTTCTGTAATGGTTTTCTAATAAATATATATGATCATGTAACACAATTTTCTTTCTTTCGTTATTTTTATATTTCATGTTTTTCTACTGTTCCACCAAACCAAACCCCCCCGAAATTGTTTTCTGGCTACGGCCTTGGTCGCGCAAATATGCCTGTTTCGCGATAATACACCTAATTATTTTTGACAATTAGACTAGGTCACAGAACGTTCTGTCGGCTAGGTCACATTCGTCATATTTACGTAAAAATGATTAGGAGTTCTATATTGGCAACACTTATAATTTGAGAAGAATTAGGTCACAGTAGAAAACTAAAAATTAGATTAGAAAATTATTAACATTTGATTATTTGTAGTTTATTGTCTTCATTTATTTTATGTTGTGTTTTATGTTGCTATCGTCCAACCCGTCTTAGGAATCACACGTTAAAAGATAAGACCTCGTTAGTCCTTAGCTCGCACAAGTTTCGGCTTCTGAGGGTTGTCGTTCGTAGAGGTGCGATAGCTGGTCTACGGAAAAAACATATCTTGAACATATCCTTTGTTGTTCTATGATTTACCATTCTATTTTTGAAGCAGCAATAAAATATGTAAAATGAATAATTGGCGAGACGTCTTCCTTTTCGCTGGTCCCACGGAACTCCTAGCGATCTCATCACGCAATGTCCTCAGCCTAGTCAAGATAACTTCTTGAACCCAATTTCCCTGCTCGCCAAACCTAATTCAACTTTTTGATTAGAACACTTAAAAAACGGAAAAGTATCATATTTATCAAAGACAATACAGAAGGAATAATGACATAATGGCAAAAAGTTAGAAATAACATTTTAAATGACATCAAGGAAGCCAAGTACAACACGATAATGTTAGATTGCACTCCAGAACCATACAGAACAAATACAGGTAATTTGATATTCAAAAAGAACCGGCGATGTGTGTGAAATAAAAAAAAATTCATTGATTTCATAGAAGTTGCTGGAAAAACAGGAGTGGACATTTGTCAACAGATTTTAGAAAAATTGACAGTTGATGATTAAGATATTGGACAATGTCGTGGCCAATCTTATGATGATGGGTCCAATATGACCGGCATCTATGAAGGAGTACAAAGTACAAGCCAGGATTGCAGAAAGGAATGAGCTTGCCGAGTTCCCACCATGCTTGGCTCACTTCTTGAATCTTGTAGGTGTTCATTCTGCCTTATCATGCCAGGAAGCTATTAACCTATTTGGACTGATTCAAAAAGTATATTGTTTTTTTGTTGGCTCCACTATTAAGTGGAGTGGATATTTTTATTTTAAATCCAATCATGTGCAATGTATAAAATATATATATCCTACACATATCTGTAAATAAATAGGCTTGACACAAAAAGAACAGCCATGGATACATTATTTTCGGCAGGCCTATGTGATAGCTGAAATTATAAAGATGATAAAGGTAAAAATAAATATTAGTGAGGGGGGCAAAAATACCCTGAAAAGAAATTACAATTAAATAAAAATTAGACAAAAAATTTAAATGTACAGATTTCAAGCCAAGTTCCTTCACGAAGTTTCGATTGTTAGTATCCACAATCATCTTCGGGTGATGTGTAATAAGTTGGACACATTATTTTTCGTTAAATATTGACTACCAAAACAGATGGGTTTTCGTAGAAAACGGGAACCTTTATCAGCTTTCAGTAATAGTTTTAGGTCAACCAGAGCCAATCCAATCAAAGGAAAAGTCGTTAAAATTAACTTCTCGATGTTTAAGAAATCTGATATTTTAGAACATTCAACCTCATCATTCATTTCATTATCATGACGTTAAGGGTCGAGAATATATTATTCAGTCTGTGTACCCCATTTAGAATAACTGTCAAAAAGTACTTAAAAGTATAATAAATATCGAAAGTTATTTTATGAGTTCAAAGTTTTAACGACATGATAAAATTAAGGCATCCGAGATAGTCTACATACCTCTCATTCGAGACAGAGAAAATATCAAAATAACCATTGCAGTGACATCTATATATCAGTAGCAGGCTCACGATATTAGAAATATCGGGAAACAGTCAGTAATTGGGGACTTATTCGCTGGACATGTAGAGGACGTTAAGAGTACCAGTCTTAGAAATAATGTTTTGTTCACAAAATGGTTTAGACTTTCACGGCTGAGGTTTTCAGTGTCATTACTTTTCGAGTTTGATAGCCGTGGATTTTTGGAATTTCCTCCTGACGCGGTGAATCTCAATCGAATATGAAACCCCATTTTAAGGAATTCTAGAATAACGAACAGGACAACAGGCAGCAAGATTGTTAATGTTCCAGGTTCAAGTGTAAGTACGAGTACAGGTACAAGTGCAGGTACAAGTACAGGTACAAATACAACTGATTACCTGACAAGGCATAAATACGCTTTACGAAGCCTAAAAGGTAGTCATCGGACAGCAAGCCACGATGGTTAAACCTCTGAAGAAGCTAGCCACTCGCGCCAGCGAAACGTCAGGAAGAATTTCCAAAAATCCACGGCTTTCAAACTCGAAAAGCAATGACACTGAATTTCTAGTTCAGTTGAATTTCCTACAAAGTTTGGAAATTCTTGAGAATGCTTTGAGTGAGTTGAAATATTGAGATATTTCAAGTCACTGTTTCGAGAAGTAATATTGGTATCTGGGAGTTTGTCGCGTCTTATTTGGCTAGCTGACTTGAGGAAAAAAGTCAGGAGCGTACGAACTCAGAAGTAGGTCGGTTGACTTCCTACAGAATTTGTGAAATTATTGAGAGAATTCGCGAAGTGATTAGGTTTTAATTATTATTCGCGGTCTGATTCAGTTTAGCTGATTTAGATAACATTTTCGAGTTCCTGGTTCTTACCAGGGACAGTTTTTGGGAAAGAGTGGTTTTAGTTGAAGACTTCAGCAGAGTCCATTTACGTTAATGTGGTGAGCGTATTTAAAAACAATTCTGATATATAGGTATTGTATATGTTATTGCATGCGTATGTGTTTTATATTTTCGAATTGGCACCTAGGGTATTGTTGAAAATTTATCATATGCTATGAATCGGGTTCCCTTTTTCATTATTAGGTTATAGAATAAGTTGGTTTGTGAAAACTTTGCTATCATTTCATTTCCTCAAACCCCTAAAAGACCACGCATTTAAGCCGTGGCCGAATCCAATCTCTGACGATATAATTGGTGGCATAACCAAGCCATTGCTCTACGAAGATAGAAAGATAAAAAATTCAACTGTTGACCAAGTCGCCCGCTAATTCTCAATC